CGTGGGCCCCCGGGGGGGGGGGGGGGGACCCGCCGGGAGCCGGGTGCTCCCCTCCCCCGCGTCCCTTCCCCCTCCCACCTTGCCTCTCCCCTCCCCCACCCACGTGGCCCCTGCCTGGCCTCGGATCCTACCTGGAAAGAGCTCCGGGCTTGGCCGCGTCCCACCTTCCAGATGTGTTAAACTACCGGAGGAGTAGTTTCTCTGGACGTCCTCATTATCTAATTACCATTTCCCCCTCTTATGATTCTTAAATCCGCACAGGACGCGTGACCAAAACCAAAGACGGCCATGAAGTGAGATCGTGCAAAGTAGCAGATTAAACGGGCAGCATCACTATTTCCGTAGGGGATGAGATCGGAGGTCTTATACAGCCAGGGGATATTATTCGCTTGACCAGAGGGTAGGTGTACACGAAATTGTGTGGAGGGCAGAAGTGAGATTCACTGACTCCAGGATGTTGGCAAGTTCTGAAGTTCGCGTCTTTTCTGTGAGCTAGTCCAAGGAGTTTGGAGTCCTTGACGTTAACCTCCTTGGGTAGCGTTGGGATGTAACACACCCTTGCAGCTACAGACAGTGGGTTTCAGTCCGGAAATCCATTTCCCTAGTTTACAGGTTAAGTATATTTTTAAATGCTATTCTAGGAGTCAGGTTTTTTTAGTAGAGTGATATAGTCTGTATTTGCTCTTTTTCATAAATTGTTTAGATCAATAGAGTTATCACACTTGTTTTCCACACCCCCTTTTTAATGACCTGAAATTCTGGCATTATTTTACTTGTAGTATTTGAAACGGTGTGTGGACCTACCATTGTACAATAGTTGGGGCATTTAGCATTGTTGGTAATATGTCAGATTCATATTCAGAAAAGGTTAAGGGGGGGAAGTTTACTATATATGGAAGGCATGTTCTTGAAAAATGGTTTCTTGTGCCTTTTCATATAAAGTCAGTTGTACAAGACCCCAGAAAGATACATGCAAGATGTTTAGCACAAAGATGATGACATCCAAAGAATCAATTGGGTATAAAAAAACAATTTACCACAACTTTTTTTTTAATAATCGGTTTTTAAAATTTTTATCAAAGCTTTATCTTAGGAAGATAGATGTCAAGAAAAGGAGCTTGAAAATGAAATTTGGAAACTTGCGTGACCTGTAAAATTGTAGTAGTTTATCATAACTACAGAAAAAATAGATGATTGATTTGGCCTTATAAATAAACTCTTACAAGAAGTATAGGAGCTCTCTAAGTGTAGGTGCTTAGAGCCCTTTGATATTATCTTACAGGCCTTTACAACATCTCCAGGAAGTGAGGTAGAGTATCATCAAAGCAGGAAGTGAGAGTCAGGACTTAGACATTTCATTCTCATGCACTGACTCACTGTGACACTAATCATGTCTTTTAAACTTCCACCCCTTTTACATACACAAAAAAAGAATCCTACTTTGGAGAATGTGGTGAGGATTAGAATAATTAAAATGTTTTGGCTCTCAGAATCTCTTGTCTAATGATTAAAAGTATTTTATGCACTGAAAACAGCATGTCATTTCAAATGTTTATGCTGTAGTCATAGGCATAGATGTTTCAATCAAAATCCTTGTTAAAAATAATTTAACTTGCTAACTATAATGCCTGTGAAATTTTAAGGAGCATAATTACCAAGATATGTATAGTTTAATGGAAGATTCAAAACCAAAGAATATTGATTGTCTGCTATAGTATGACCTTGAGAAGTTACACCTTATATTTCAGCTTCATCTTCTGTAAAGTGGGAATAGTTACACCTTACTAAAATAACACACTCTGGCTAGAATTAGTCTATCTTCAGGGCCTTAAACTCTGGTTGATTAAGAAATGTAGCTTTTCAAGGAAGGCATCCCTCACATGTAAATACTGGTTAGTTTGGATATGGGCATGTTTATCAGAAAACCCTACAAACTTGTTCTTATATTTCATTCCTTGAATCAGTGAAAGTTAAATGTTCTAATTACTGAATTTGTTTTCTTAAACTGTGCATTTTATTTTAGTGAGGTGCAATATTAATGCACCTTTTCCTCAGTCATTTCTTGTGTAACTTAATAGTGAATAGAATCTTTAAGCATTATTAAAATGAAGAAATTTCTATAATGCGAAACTAGCAAAATTCGATCAACCCATATCATTATTTTTGATCATACAACATTTAGTTATAAGTCTTCTTGAAAGTTACTGTAGTAGTACAAAGAAATATTGAGCTATTGAAAACCAAACCTTGGCCTGATTTTATAATGACTATTTGCATTTTTTTAAGATTTGTATGTAGGATTGTTTTGTTTAATGATGCCATTTGCATTCAAGATTATCCGGACTAAGCTATTGTTAAGCCTGGTTGGTATTAAAAATTGCAAACTTGGAAAGGCAAATGGGTGAAAGATTTATGATCTTAGCTTTCTTCGTACCTTTTATTAAGTTCTACCAAGTTTTTAGTGGCCTGGCAAAAAAAAAATTGTTCTATCAGTGTCTGCCTAAATGGTATAAATGAGTGTAAGAGTAAACACTATATTTTATATATTCTGTGACTGAAAAATAATTTCTTTTTAAATGTTTACAATTAAAAGCTTCCTTTATTAATTGATGAAATTGTGATCATCCAGGAATGTTATAATGTTTACTTTGCAAAAAGACATTTTCTTTTTTCTAGGGCTTGTTATAGTTTAGAAAATTATGTCAAAATTTGACCGTAGAATTTTTTTTATTATTTCTTAGTGAGTAGCAAGTTAATCAAAGTGAATTTCTTAAGTTTGATTTACGATCGTTAGTAGGAGACAGTAGCTGGATCCCAATTTGTAATAAAAGAAAATAGATGTATTTCTAAAGAGTGAATGTGTGTTTTCTCTCTAGGTATGCATCCATGTGGAAAGGATGTCTGACGCTTTATAGTGGAAGAGGTGGTGAACTTCAAAAAATCGGGGAGTAAGTATCCACATGCATTTTGTTCAGTTGAATAAATTACAAATAATGTCTACAGTATAATTGGTAGGTATGAACTATACACCTCTTCCTTGACTTTTTTTCTTTTTAAGAGAGATTTTTGCTATAGGTTTTATAGCAAAACCTGGAGACAGGGACAGAAAGAGGGAGAAAGTGAGAAACCACCCCACAGGGAGGATGGCCATGCCGCAATCCCTTCTCCTTCATTTTCAAGATTTTTGGGCATGCATGCACATGTGCCCAGTGTGAATTTCAAACCATAAGTTGACCATGTGGGAGTCTACTGCCTTAAACAGTATGCCACCTGCTTACCCTTCCTTGACTTTTTTGCCTGGTAAACCAAGTATCTTTGTCAGCTGAACTGAAAAAATAACTTTGCATGTATGTACTAGATTAATGGCTGTCAGTACTGTTTTCTGTGGTCGAGAGTGTCAGTTTTTCCTGGCAAAGAGCAGTAAGAAACTGCAGTCGAAAATCAGCCCTAGTGGAACCATTTCTGTAGGCCTTAGAAATGTGCTTTGTTCAAGTGTCACAAGTGCCATTTCAAAGTAAATTCTTAGAATATTTTATCAAATAAGTTAGGTGTGAGTTTCAGGCCATAAGCTTTGTTTTTCTTTTTCTCTGTTTATGAGCAAATTTGTACTCATGTTAAAAGGACTTGCAGCAGTGGAAACTGAGTCCTCTATTTATCCACAGTCTAGGTATGGTGCAGGCAGCCGCAATGCGAGCTTCCATACACTACTGGTAATGATCTCCACCCTGACCTGGAGGAACCATCCTCTCTAGGGGTGTAAAGGTAATTGAGCCTCCATGCTAGCCTAGACATTTGGGTTATACTCATAAAGTATGATACAGGCAATGAACCATATTATAGTCCATTTTATTTGATGAATGCGCAGATATCTACTCACTGCCCATACATTGAAGGATATTTAAAGAGTGAAGCCACAAATGGCACCGCCCCCCAAAAAAACAAAACAAAACAAAACAAAACAAAAACCTTTTACACTGAGGGAATGAGATACTAAGATAATTTGTTTAGAAAACCTGTTGTTAATACTACTAAAAAAAAAAGTAATCTTTTGCTTTAGAGATCAGAAACTTGTATAACCCTTTGCCTTTGCCTTTCCTAGAAGGAAGACTAGGATTTACTTATGTTTATATTTACAGCAGTATTACAGCTGTGTGTTATGAAAAGTCTTAGTGTTAATATTGTTGAAAGGTTCAAGATCCTGTCCAGACCTTTATGTTTAGAGGCGTTTGCAATAATGGAGTTCAGTTATGTGAAGAACCACTGGTGGATCACTCAGTTTTTAATGACTGCTCTTTGTCAGGGTCAGTCTAGGATTTACCAAAATGGGTTCTAATATTTTTTTTTTAAAGAGAGTAAGGAGCTAAGAAAATGCTTATGTGTTAGTACATCCCATGTAATCCACTTATAAGAAGAACTGGGGTAAACTAGTGGCTTGATAGCTAGTTGTCCTTATCTCCTAGAATCCACTCTTAACCTTGAATGATTATCTTTGCAGATTCACAATGATTGGTCAAAAGAGGGACTGGATGAGAGTGTGTGAATGGATCAGTGCAAATCCTTCACCACTGCTGGAGAAACCACTCTGGAACTCTAAACATGGTTTACTAGCATCCGCCCATATGGAAAAAATAGGACAAAGATGGTTCTGTGTCCTTGACCTTTAATGAGATTTATTTCTTGGAGTACAAGAAAAGTAATTTAAATACCAAGTAGAATATTGCATGTGTTGTATACAAATATTTGCTGTTTTTATGGAACATAATCATTTAGGAAGTTTTTGTTGTAAAATGAGTACATTAGTTGGTATGAAGTTAATTTATTTGACACCTGAATCATTCATTCCTGTAAGTTAGGGATGTTATATAAAGAAAGGTGGATTACTTTATTTCAGAGGTCATTTAACTTGTCCTTTATGAATTCTTTTTCAGATTTTGTATGGTTTATTCAGAAGTGCCAAATTTCAGTGAGCCCAATCCAGATTATCGAGGACAACAGAACAAAGGGGTAATTAATTCCATTCTAGAGAATATTTTTATGATTAGACTAATTCTGGGTATCTATTATAATTCTGACTAGGCTAACCCTGTGATACCCGGAGTATAATGTAAGAGAATTTAAGGACTCCTGACCCATCCCTAATTTTATTATATATATTTTGTGAGCCTGTAAATATATCTGTACTAAACATATACTACATATATAGCACTTCACAGAGTGGGGAGTAATTATCAGGAAATATAACAGGGTGTAACAGAAGTTATGAGAGATAGGGGAAACTCTTGCAGATCTTTTTAAAATGTGTTAAATATAAAATCAAGAAACTTAACATTAAGAAGAAGAGTGAATATAATATAAACATAGTATAAATGTATTGTTTTTAACTTCATTTTATTAAATTAAACATTTCTTTTTAGGCTTATAGTGAACAGAAGCATAATTCCATGAACAGTAATATGGGTACAGGTACATTTGGACCAGTGGGTAAGATACATATATTTATATGTTTTTTTTTTTTGTTTGTTTGTTTTTTTTGGTAGGGGAAGCACATTTGCAATCAAGTGTAAGAATAAGGGAGTTAAAGAGATTTAGAGGAAAATAAAGTCTTTGGGCATAGGTAGTACTAGATGTGAACTACCAGTAAACAGAGAATCCCAAAGTGACTAATTTTCTAGGAAGTAAATACTGCTCTTAAGCCAATTTATTGAACACATCGTGTTCAAACCTTTTGGCCAGCTTTTGGAAATAGCAGTGGTGAATATTGACTAATAGCAGTGGTGATGTCATGAAAAAGTCTCAGGATATTACCTTTCCATTTTAAAAAAATTTTGGTAACATGGTGATTATTCACAAGAGATGCAAAATTAACTGATTTTTGCTATTTTGGTACATTGAAAGCCTTTTATCCTAAGAGTAATAGCTCACCTTAATTTCTCACATATCTGTAAGCTGCCTCTTTAAAAGATTAGTCTTTATTACTCAAATGCCATGTTAATGATCCCGGTAGCCCTGTTGAAAGTCTTTTGAAGTCTTTATTCTTAATAACTAAGGAAAAATCTTCGTTGGGACCAGCAGTTAGCATAATGGCAATGTCGCTGGACTCCCACGTAGTCGACCGTGGTTCAAGTCCTGGACCCGGCGGCTTAAACTCACGCCGGGCGCATGTGCGTGCGTGCCCAAGATCCCGAGAGGAGAGGAGAATGGAGGAGAAGGGATTGCGGCTTGGCCATCCCCCCTGGGGGGTGATTTCTCACTTTCTGTCTGTCTGTTTCTGTCTTTCTGGCGAGCGCACGCGCCCTGTAGCGAAAACCTCTCAAAAAAAAAAAAAAAAAAAAGGAGAAATCTTCAGTGATTGGAGTTCATTAGAATGACTGATGTTTTGTTTGACCCAATAGCTATGTATTTTGGTACAATTGATCATCACCATCTTGTAGGAAACTGTGCTATCTTAGTTTGTTTGGAAATGTTAAGCAAAATTTGAGTCAAATGCTAGTACTCAAATACTGTTTTGCCCTTTCTTTTGTTTTCTCTTTTTAAGTCTGTTTCTTGAGAGAGAGGAGGCAGAGGGATTGAGAAAGACAGGGACCCCTGACCTGGTCTTTCCACACCACAGTCCTCCCCAGCTTTCCAGCTACCTAGGATCATAGGCACTGATTTAACCCAGGAGCCAAACCCAGGTCTTCCATGTGACTCTAGTATGATGCAGCAGTGCTCTGCTGTCTATGCTAACATGGCCTTGTCATTCTTTTATAGTGTAGGTAGTATATATCTGTGCTCTTAATAATTTCTAATTTTGTTGCCCAAATTGGCTTTTTATGATCTCTGTTAATACAGCATCAAATTAATGTTTTATAGTAATCATATGTTTTGAAAAACCTAGAACCTACCTTGAGGATTTTATTTCCCATCTAAAAATAAATGTTTTTTTCCCCTAATGTTATTTGTAGGTGTTAATAATATGTGTTCGAATTTCAAATAGGTGTACTTCTGTAGTCACTATAGATCACTTCTGAAAATAGTGATGCATTTTTGTTTTCTTTTTTAGGAAATGGTGTCCAAACTGGCCCTGAATCAAGGGGATACCAGTTTTCATACACTGGTAGAAGCAATGGTCGGGGACCTATAAATCCACAGTTACCAGGAGCAGCTAATAATCAGATAGTCACAGCCACAATAAGTAATGGCAGGGACCCTCGGAAAGCCTTGAAAAGATGACCTATGCCAAATATGCATATGTAGTTTTTAAGCTACATGCCCTACTTGAACACTTAACTGCACTTTTATTTATTGTTTACTGTGAAAAGTATGTTCTTTATTGATTTCCTTTTTACATTTTTGATTTGCTAAGAGTGAGTTCCTTCTATAGCAAAACTGTTGAGCTACTCAAATCTCCTATTGAAGAGTTGGGAACACCTTAAAAAGTAGGGGTGTTTATTTTTAGAGCAAAAAGGTTGTTGGATAGCCTCTAAAAAATATGCACCTATTTCATGGGTGAGTTACTTAACATATCAGCTTTATAGCCTCTATGAGTCTGTCTTCTGTATAAATTTTGGAATATTTAACAAAAGGCTTAATGGAAGATGTTCTTTATGTCTTAAATTCAGATATTGCCAACTAGCAATAACCACCAAAAAAAAAAAAAAAAAAAGAAAAGAAAAAAAAAGAAAAAGAAAAGGAAAAAAAAACTTGGTCAATGTTAACAGCAATTTTTGAGTGTTTGACTCCAGGAATGATTGACTTCATTGAGTGACTGCCATTAAGATTTTCCTACGACTGAATCATCCTAAATTCTTGTTTTATTGCCAGAAAACAAATGAGTAAAATTATGGAACAGAATGTAATCTGTATTACAGCAAGTAATTTTTAGAGGAAAGCTACATTTGCTTTATTTTAGGGCAGTGTTCTCAACATTTGTTACCAACTTTATGGATTACATTGAAGGAAAATTTAAGACTGAGGCCTTGAATATTTATCTTTTGAAAATACCATGTTAAATATTAAAATACATAAAGTACGATTTGTGGGGTAAAGTCATAATAAATGTTGAACAAATTATTTTTTTAAATAATTGTTAGTGAAGGCAATTCAAATTGAATTCAAGCAGATTAGGTTTGTACAGGTACTCAGCCTGAGTAAGAAATCCTAGGTACTTGACTGATTTGAGAGGTGTGTGTGTTGTTAGTTTCTGGACACAATTCACATAGCCTTATTAGCAGAAGTTAGAAATGGCTTTCTCAAAGAAGTGATCACAGCTTTATTCACAAATGTAAAGGTGGAATTTATATGTTATAAACAATACCCATGTCTACTTTTTACTTTAGGGTGGTAAATTTTTTCTTCTGTTAGAATTCAACTCTTCTTGAATATTATTTCTTGAATAAAACTTGCATTAATGATAACAAACCTACCTACCAAAATTTTGCTTTCAATGACTTACAGTGGAAAGCCATTATATTTTAACTATCACCTCATGATAACTTTTACCTGGCAACCAGTTAGCCTGTATTTGTTGCCTTTTTTTTTTCAAGTTACAAAGTAATTTAAGTTGGATTTCTGAAAATTCTAGTCTAAACCATTTGAATATAGATTTATGCCAGCTTATTTCTGTGCTCTAATTTATGTATCTAACAACTATTTTAGTACATGCCCTGGCACTGTGTGGAGAGTGTTAAGAAAAAGGTAAAATGGTGGATGATCTGAAGAAGTTTCTTCATGGTTTATTGTACTTTGGTAACTGGGGTTTATATGTTAATTTTCCTTTTAATCATAAATTAATGACTACAGTTAACTTATCTTTATACTAGTATTTTCTTAAGATTTTTACATTTCACAATACTTCAGAAGAAGTTGTCTAAAGATTGGGATAGAGAGTGTATTTTTGTAAGATCACATAGGCCTAGTAAGGATTTTTAAAATACTACAAATTAGTATATATTTTAAAAAATCAAAGTAGACGTAGGAGCAGCACTCCTTTAACATATTCATGGGAGAATATAGTATTAAAGATGATCCTTAAAGAATTTTGGAATGGGCCAGTAGATGGCATGGTGATTAAGGCACTGGACTCCCACATGGTTGACTGCAGTTCAAATCCCGGACCTGGTGACTTGAAAATCACACCAGGCATATGTGCATGCATGCCCAAAATCTCAGGAGGAGAATAAAGGAGAAGGGATTGTGGTGTGGCCATCACCCTTCCAGGGGTTGATTTCTCATTTCCCCTCTCTCTAGTGAGTTTTCGTGCCCTATGGTAAAAAGAAAAAAAAATAGTTCTTAAAAAATTATTTTTTTTGAGTTTTGGAGAATCAGAATGCTGTTGGGTATGGATTGCTGAGCTCCTAGTCCTGGTCTCATTGTCTCCCTCCTGTGGTGTTGGGCACTGTTCCACTCAACACCTCTCTAAGCCTTAGGTTCTACAACTGTGAAAACAAGTAAGTAATAGCACTCCTTTCTAGAGTTACTGAAGATTTCCTTGTTAGTAATTAGAAAGATTTCTGTCATGTAGAAAGGAGTCAAATATGTGTTGTCAAATACCTCATGAACAGTAAAGATAATGCAAAATTAGGTGTGGAAGTATTGTCACTCTTTAACATGTTGAGATTAAACAAAAACAGCTTTTTACTTTGCTTTAATAATTTAACCTTGTTTTGTTTTTAATCATCGATTAACTAATTTCTTTTTTCTCAAGAGAAGCTCTACCACCAAAGCAAAGTGAGTTGCAATTCATCATGAACACTTGCCTTCCCAGTCTACTTGGACAGAACTCATCAAGAAGTTAAGAGGAAGAAGTTTTCTATCTTATTAGCCCTGGTGCTTTCAGCAATCAACTTTGAAATGAGTTTAAACACCACTTACCCAAACAAAAACCATTTAGAAATACACTCTCCTTGGTCAGGTCCCCATATTGTTTCTACAAGACAGATCTGAAATGGATCAAGGACTGATCAAACTAGTTTGCCCCTCTTAGCTGGACAGCCTTTAGTTGTGATTGGGGGATGACACTGGAACAATGCAGAAACTGAAAGATGATATTTATAAGGCCAGATGATATTTAAAAGTGAAGCCGCAGTATGCTTTCTCAGGCATTTAAACATTCAGACTTTCTTATAATGTATTAACTCTTCCTTTGTTTTGTCCCTTAAGTTTAGTCATCTTATTTAAAGTGGAGGACTGTTTAACTTAAGGATACCCTAAATAATCTGTAGGACTGAGTATTCCTCACGTTTGCTTTTAATCATTTAGCTTTTTTAACGAATGCTTAATTTACTGGGTTAAATGATGCTAAGAAAGGATCCCAAAAACAAATAGATGTGAGGTTAGGAAAAAAAAGTTAAGATTTACAGTATGAAACCTTAAGTGATTTTAAGAAGGTGTTAACTACCCCAAAAAGATATCTCAGGAAGTAGAAGTTTTACATAAGACACAGTGGCTATTTCAACTTAGTTATTGAAACTTTCTGGTGTCATTAACGTAATGGTTTTTTGCTCTAAGCCATTTTTGGCTACATATGACTCTTAAGGTCCTTTTCTCTCATGCATCAATATTTGGAAGGTTCAAAGAGATTACAAACAAAGAACCATGTGAATTGGTTTCAACATGGAACCCTTTTCTGCAAGTCTTTTTATCCTTGTTCTTGGGATTGTTTTATTGCTATTGCTTTTTAGATCTACTTTGTTTTATCTCTTCTCTGCTAAGAATCAAGCATTTCTAGTGGAAAAAGATAAGCACAGTCATTCTCTAGTATGGACCATATGAGAGGTTGAGGAAAATGTCAAAAACCTGTATGCCAAGGTTCTAGCCAGTGACAGAATGTTGAGGTTAATTAAAAGTCCCACATTTCATAAAGTAGTTTTAATGATTAACAGTTGAGGTATGTTTCTGAAGAAATTATGACCTTTGGAAAACACTTATGAATGATGGGTTAAACCCAGAAGGAGGAGCTAGAAAAATATTTTACTTTCCAGGTATATTTAAATTCTCTTCAAATGCCTCAGAGTTTGCTGTATCAAAATTATACTAGGGACCAGTCAGTGAGGTGTAGTTAAGGTGCTGGACTACCACATGACCAACCATGGTTCAAGTCCCAGACCTGGCAGCTTGATACTTGGATTGGGTATGTTTGCATGTGTGCCCAAAATCCCGAGAGGAGAATGGAGTAAAAGGGATTGTGGCGTGGTCGTCATCTCTAGGGAGTTATTTCTCACTTTCTCTCTTGCAAACACACACACCCTTTAGCAAAAATCTCAAAAGAAAAAATGAGTTTGGATTCCAATATTGTAATGAAAGTACTCTGGATTGGGTATGTTTGCATGTGTGCCCAAAATCCCGAGAGGAGAATGGAGTAAAAGGGATTGTGGCGTGGTCGTCATCTCTAGGGAGTTATTTCTCACTTTCTCTCTTGCAAACACACACACCCTTTAGCAAAAATCTCAAAAGAAAAAATGTGAGTTTGGATTCCAATATTGTAACAAAAGTACTCCAGGTTTCAAAACTAAGAGTATATTGATGTCTCAAAGCACTGATGACAGATTAGGGAAGATAAAGTTCAGATTATCTGGCAGACCACTTATTTGGCATTTTTCCCATGTTAATGTTGGGCCCGAAGATGTTACTAAGGTGTTTCTATGATGAGGTAACCTATGTGATACAAAGAAGAGAGAGCTGTACTATAAAAGGGTTCAACTAGGAGACCCTTCATTTAAGCCTTTGAAAAGTTATGGCCGACAACCCGCAGTTTTAACATGGCTCCCTAGGCTTTCAGTACAAGCCAACCCAAGGCTTGAATGATCATTTTGAACTATAATAGAGTTCAGTCACTTGAGACTGTTAACACCATTGTTCACACCAACACACCTGTTGTCTAAACCTCAAGAATCATTATGTTTTTATATACCTGTTGTCTTGGTACCATTTCCAATTAGGTAAATTCTACATCCATTTTACCCTGTCCAAATTCATGCTTCTGGGCATAGGATAGTCATCTCTGGTGTCCTATTAGAATGTGCTGAATGAAACTCTCAATGGTATGTAACCCACCTTCATTAGCCTTGCCAGGAACTTGTGAAAGCCACAAGCTTCTCTGCTCTACTAGGAGGAGAATTTAAGGTCTGGGAAAGCTGCACTTGAGGCCATAAACAGCCCTGCCTCCTGCCCTTGAGCTCTCCTTTTAACAGTGAGACTTTGTTTTGAAGTTAGCCATGCCTTGGTTTTCTTCACAAAGACTAGAATGTACTTAAGTGTTGAATTATGAGGTGAGGAAGATACCGCACTTAGAAGGTTGTGTCTGCAAAAGGCAGAATTGCCCTTGGTAGGTGAAGCAGGTAGTCCTGAGCAGAATTAGAAGATGAGTCTGGTCTATGGATGTCAGTACTCCATTTTGAATTAGGTTCAAATAGAATTACATAAATGCCCAGGATCTGATACCCAGAGTGGTCACACAGCTTTATATGAGCCTAGATGTACCATGGTAAAAAGAAGCTTCTCACCTGAGTTTCTGTTAAAAAGCTTAAGCGTATTGTGTATCTTAGCAAGTACACATTTACAGCATCTACTTTGTTTCTGTCCTATGATTCCTTTGCTCTGAAAAGGGACATTAGCTAATCTGAAAAGTAGTGGGGCTGCAAGTATGGTACATTTTCCTGAAAATGCTCAGGGATCCCACATCCTCTACATGCAGATAGCAATCTTATGTGCAGACAGGTAGCTACTTTATTTTTTTACAAGAAATATAGAAGATATGATTTGATGTATGTGAGGTTAGTCTTGAGTTTGAAATATCTGTAGTCCTGGTGGTTAGGAGACAGACCTTTGGCCTAAGTTGCTGAATATGGATGAGTAGCAAGGCAGCACAAATAGTGCCACCTACTGGGTGATTCCTATATAGTTTCCGTAGTTCGGAAATTGGCTTAGTTTAATCTGTGGGACAGTTTCCACCATTCCATTTGAGACCAATTGTAGGCTGATAGTTTCAGCATATGGAAGATCATTAGAGGGTGGTTGGATCATTTAATCCTAGCTTAGGAACAAGCAATACTGTGACATAAAAGTGAATTTTCCTCAGCTAAGCTGATTAAACCCTGAACTGACCCTAAAGCTATAGATAATGTGAAAAAGAGTGCCAAGTTTTGTATTCTCATTTCGTTTGACATTACTGGTAGGACGTGTAGAACACCTTTTGGCAGGCGATGTTCTGGTGAAAAATGAAGTAGGACATGAAGTTGCCCTTACAAATTTTATTCCTTTATTGAGCAGTATTTTTTAAAACCCTGGCCAAATGATTGCTGCTGTTCTTATAGTTATGTGAA